GTCACAGATACACAACTGCCATTAGAAAGTCACCTGATTCCACAAGAACATATGAAATGTACACATCTGTACTAGTCGTGCCCTTAACACTTCAGGCATGTTAATTACGTAACAAGACTCTATATCTACTATATCTCTAACCACACACACACACGAAAAGTGGATTGTTAGCATGATTCAACTAAATTTTATTTTCCTGCAGTAATGGGGACTGAACCCAGTGGTGCTACATCAAGGAGCGGCAGTCCCAACCCCCACCCTCCTGACCCTGCTTTTAATTTTTTGGGGGGGCAACGGGGGTGAGTGCTACAGACTGAATTCAGAGGCATTCAACTCCTGAGCTCCATCCCCAGCTCTTTTTTGTAAAAGCAGTGATAATCAGGATGAAACAGGTCTGCAGGAATCTCAGTGATTCATCTGGGTCTCATGCAGTTCCTTAGCACCTCACTATTGCTGAGGCTGGCTTTGAACTCACGATCCTCCTGCCTCAGCCTCCGAGGAGCCACTGGGATTACAGACAGGCACCACCACTCCTGGCCCTGCTTTGAAGACAAGGTCTCACTTAGTTGCTGAGGCTGGCCTGGAACTAGCATTCCTCCTGTCTCAGCCTCCCAATGTGCTAGGATTACAGGCATGTGTCACCGCTCCTGGCCCAATTCAGTTAAACAGTGGACAAATTTTTCTATATTGAATTTAAAAACACTTAAGATTTTTTTTTTTGTCAAGCTTCCAAATTCCATATTAAGAGCAGACATATAATTTAAAGAGACATCACAGGAGGGAAAAAAAGAGGTCTTAAATAAGACAATTATAAAAGGGAGATTTTAAGAATGTAATTATCATCCCCAAAAGAAGGCTCAAAGTTTGAAGACCATTAAGATATATCAAGGTGAGGCACATCAATGCCCAGGGGGCGATGAACACTTTCCCAGGTTCTCCTGATCTCTTCTGATAAAGGTAGAAAGCCATGTCCCCTACCTGGACAGTACCTATCTGTACACTTGGTATTTAGACCAGACGAATCCCTGAGATTGCTGCAGACCTGTTTCGTCCTGATTATCAGTGCTTTTACAAGGAACAGCTCCTGTGCCCACTGAGCTCAGCAAGTTCACACTACAGGAAACATGGCCCTTTGGTCATGTAATTACCTTCTTATTTACCACATCTACAAACCAAACACAGGAATAGGTCATTCCAAAAGAACAACTGAAGTTAAGAACACCAAGTCAGAGCACTTGTACTTTCTGTGTTTTGTCACAGCTTAAAATAATCATCGCAGCAGCCTCTACTAAGTGTCTAATACACACCAGGTTCTTTGTATATTAATGAACTTAATCTTTACAGTAACCCTGTGAGGAAGGTCTGAGATTAGGCAACCTGCCCACGATCCTAAACACGCAAGTGGAAGGCAGGGGATTAACCTGAGTCCCAGAGGCCAAGCTCCTATCCTCTAACATCCCAGGATCTGGCCCCTGCCGCCCTGATGCCCTCCCTGATTCTGAGGAACCGTTTTCTGTGAAATCTAACAGAAAAAACGTTTCCTGTGAAATACTCTATCATCCGAGCCTTTCAACCCCAAGTGGTCACCTTCAGTTCCTCTAATCAAAATTAAGGCGATATACAAATAAGTCCAAAATACTAACCACAACATGTTTTACAAATTGGCTTACTTTAGCTATTTTTCCAAATTTCTTCTCTTAAATGGGACTACTGGACAAAAGACTGGGTCTCAAGAAATCAAGTGAGGACTGGAGCTATGGCTCAGCGGTAGAGCACTTGCCTAGCAAGTGTGAGGCACTGGGTTCAATTCTCAGTATCGCATATAAATAAATGAAGGTTCATCGATGTTTTTGAAACTTATATACATTATACACCCCCCCCACACACATATACACATACACACACACACACACACATATATGATATATATATAGGAAAAGAAATCAAGTGAATATCACCAGGTACTCTGATATTTTCCATTGTTTCTAAGGCAGTCATTTTTTTTTTCTCTCCCCTTCCTCTTTTTTTTCCAATGCTGGGGATTAAACCCACAGCCTCACACTGCATGCCAGGCAAGCACTCTACACTGAGCCACATCCCCAGTCCCTACGGCGGTCATTTCTGTCAACAGCAGTGACATGTGATTACTCTGTTAAATGACCACCTTAAATCAACACTATGTACAGATTCCCTGTGTCGTTCCTCTTCCCCAGTGGAGTGCTGGCTTGTGATCATTAGCGGTTAAGGACAAGCCTCCACTCCAATTTGCTAGTCCTATAACCTATAGCCAGATTACTTCCATCTAGGCCATTTCCTATAATTTAGTACTTAAAACATGCATCTACCATTTTTGTGGAGAAAATCTAAATTTCTGAACAAAAAAACTACGATCCAAAAATATCTAATAAACTCTCAATGTTATGGCCCTTTAAGGTCTGCAAGACAATTTTGTAAGTAGGTTCCGAAATGTGACATACAATTTTTTGTGGAAATTTTATGTTAAGAAGATATCTGAAGGAGAAATGAAATTTTTTCTGCCAAATAACTTTTTTGAAATGTTCACATCACTCTTAAAGTGATGTTGAAAGGATAGAGTCCAGGCAAATTCATTGTGGAATCATAAATACCAGACCTCCACCTAAGAAACACATGCTCTGTCATGCTCATCCTACATTCTTGATACCTGATAAAATAATATCCAACAGTTAGCCTTAGTTATTGGAACAGTAAAGCCCCACCGCCACCCTAAGTACTGGGGATTGAAGTCAAGGACACTTTACCACTGAGCTACATCCCCAGCCCTTTTTATTGGAGACAGGGTCTTGCTCAGGCTGGCCTCAAAACTGAGTTCCTTTTGCCTCAGTCTCCCGAGTTGCTGGGATCACAGACATGTGCCACTGTGCCTAGCTGGAAACAGAAAAGCTTTAAAAGTCTTAGTAAATTCCTTCCACTGATCATGAATTTCATGAGACCAGCAACTCTATTCGGATTATCTAAGCAACAATGACCTCCACATCAATCGGTTTTGATCCTTCAGGGAGTCTTAGATCCTTCTGATGAAAGCTGGGGACCTTCTTTCCAGAGTTGTTGCAAAGTTTGCAAGCCAATCTCCAGGCCCTAGAGAAGAACTGTGTTCTTTACCTTGCACCAAATGAAAGAAGAAACATGATGGCAATCTCAAACTCTGACAGAAAATCAACCTTTCCATTTACTCAATTTGTTAGGAAAAACAAGCCTCTTTACAGATTCTAAACCAAAGGCATTAGGGTGGTGAATTCATTTGAAGGCAGCTCTGATCAAATGTATTGATCCTCTGCACCCAGAACTCTTTCTCCTGAAACTTCACATAGTGGATTCTTCTTGCCTTTCAATATTCAGCTCAAATGTCATGTCCTCTGAAAAAAATTACTTTCATGACCATCCTATTTAAAGCAATCCTCAGACCCTTTTAAAACACTTCTTGCTCTTTTACTTTCACTGTAGTACTTACTAGTATTTAAGAATGTCTCATTTATCTTATTAACTTATTTTGACTGTTCTGTTAAAAGTATAACTCCACAAGAGCAAGGACTTTGTCTTGTTCCCCATTGAATCCTAAGTGCCTGCCACAGTGCCTGGCACACAGTGAGCATTTGATAAATAAAAGGGAGACCAATGCTAGTGTCAACTATAGATATTTTAACTAATTATAAATTAGATTTCTTTTTCCCTTTCCATAGTCTGCAGGTCCATTCAAGCAGCAAATATTTATCGAGCACCTACTGTGTGTCAGACACTGTTGCAGGTGCAAGGAATACAGCAGTGAATTTCGGACAAGTGTTTTTGCTCTGTAGACCCTATGTTTTAGGAGACTGACCAGAATAAGCAGATGTCTTGCACACTACTGTGACACATCACCATCCATACACCTTCCTGAGGGAAAGAGCTAAGCGGAATCCCAAATAAGGGGAAAACATTCTCCAACTGGGCACTTACAAAGCAAGTCTCAGGGGCTTCCCAAGTGGGAAGCTCTTCCCACCTGTTCTGCTCTCGTGGGGGAATCCCAAACAGCAGAGCCCAGGTAAAGGAAAAACTTAGGGCAAGGACAACTGCTTCTGAGGACTTGGAGGTGGTGAGGGCAGGAACCAGGAAACAGAACGCCAAGAGTCGTGGCAAAAGCCCTGAGCATGGAGGCTGAAGAACCAGCCCTAGCTGTCACCAACTTGCTAGGTGACCTTGGGCCAGTCCCGCGCTGCCCGGGCATCCGTTCCCCCGGGGGGCACCAGGGGAGGAGGCCGGGAGGGTGGGATTTGGGGTGGGGGTGGGGGAAGCGGAGGCCAGGAGGCCGGGCTGGTAACGGCCGGCGCGGGGCCCGGCCGGGGCGGCTCACCCACCGAGCGCCACCTGGCAGGCCCTGCGCAGCTGGGAGTGCTGGGGCCGCTTCACCTCCTTGTCGGCTAGGATCTTCTCCAGGGCCCGGGACACGAACATGCTCTTGGTCTGGCTCTCCTGCATGGCCCCGGCCCGGCGGGGGCTGGCAGCCCCGCGGGCGGGCGGCGCGAGCGAACGGACCAGCGAGGTTTCGGGCCCGGCGTCCTGGCCGGCACCGGCCGCGTCCGTGCGCGCCGCCCCGTCAGGAAGCGACGCCGCGGCCCCACGGCGTCGCCATGTTGGAGCGCGTCACGTGATCACGTGACTGGCGGGGCCGCTGCGGCCGCTGCGCGTCCGTCGACCCCGTGACCCGAAGGGGGCGGGGTCTACGCGGGGCGGGGCCAGGGAGGCGGGGCGAGCACGTGGGTGAAGGGAAGCGGGACCTGGGGGCCCGGAGAAGGCAGGTGGGAGGGCCGAGGCGAGGTGCGGGCCGACAGAGGAGCGGGGCCGGAGACGGAGTGGAGATGAGGGAGGGAGCGGAGTGGAGATGAGGAAGGGAGGAGCGGGGAGAAGATCCGAGTGATGGGGCAGAGGCGGGGCTGAGGGCGGGGAGACTGGAGGAGGTCGGACGGGGAGGAAGGGGAGGAAGAGGAAAGGGGACGAGAAAGGTGAGAGCCAGAGAGGGGCGCGGAGGGGAAGAGTGACGAGTGGAGGAGGTGAGGACGCGGGAAGGGACGACGGGACGGAGGGAAGCCCGGGAGGAGCGGGGAAGTGGGGACGGTGCGGAGGGGCCGAGCCGAGGCCTTGGGAAGGACGCACCACGACGGGGAGAGCCGAAGGCCGAGGGGCGCTTCACGGGACATGCACCGGCCACGCCGCTCTCCTGTCGCCACGGTGCTGCCCGCTCGGGCAGCCAGCGCAGGAGTGTCCGTGGGCCGCGCTGCCGGGAAGGACTTGCCCCTGTGCAGTTTCTGGTCTGTTTTCTGCACCTGTGCTTCCTCGCCCTGCAGTGGGCAGGAGAGGCGGTTTTGGTGCACTTGACAGGGGAAGAAACTGACCCAAAAGACTAGTGCCGCCGTCTGCAGCGAGTAAGAAACAGAGGTCCTGGCCCCAGGGCCACTTCCACTCAACCCCAAAACAGAGTTGCTATCACAGCAGCCAGAGTGCTGACCCCAGACCCCTTCCTCTCACGCCACCTGTCTCCCCGTGGGCAGCCTTGCTACTGAGGGTCACTCAAGGACAGAGGTCATTCTTGGACATCATGGGAAATTCTCTCATAGGCGTGTGCAGATGCTAGGGCCTCCTTTTCCAGTCTCTTTTGGCGGACCTCCCCTTCCTTGCCTTCCCTGGTTGGTGTTTTTCATGGTATTTACTGACCTTTTGTTTGTGGAATCACTAGAGTGAGCCTTCAGAGGGGGCTGCTGGGTCCCCAGGGCCTGATCTAGAGCCTAGTGGAAGGTTTTATGGCCATGAATTCCCTAACTTCCATCGACTTTTAATGTGCATTGCTGCTCCTCCCAACAAGGGGTGGAGTCCTCCTTTATCCCCTGGCCCTGGGCTAGCCTGTGACTTGCTTGACCAGCAGGGGATGTAATGCAGTGAGCTGCTTGTGCACCAGAGCCTGGGCATCAAGAGGCCTGGCCCACTCCTTCCTTTGCTCCTGGAATGCTGCATGATGCTCCGAAACGGTCCTAGAAGAAATCTCACATGGACACAACCCAATTTCCCCAGCTCCTCCAGTCAGGTCCAGTCCCCAGCCAACATACAGCTGAACACAGCAGCATGAGAGACCCAGGGAGATGAGTAGAACTTGCTAGACAACTCATAGAATAGTGGACAACAACAAATCATTACTTTAAGACAATGCACTTTGGGGTAGCTTGTTACACAGCAGATCACAGACAACCCCCACTACCACCACCACATCCTTGTGTAGTGAATGAGCGGATGAGTGAGTGTGTGTAATTCTCAGAATTACTCTGCAGTGAGTGGGCAAACAAGTTTTGAACAATGGCCTGCTAAACACCCAACAGTGATTTTCCATTGACCTTGGGACTGAGTCTAAGTGACAGTCCTGCAAGGAGAGATTGGGGTCCTGCTGATTTCTCCCACCTCATCCCCTCCCTTCCCCCTCCTCAGGACCCTTGGGCCACTTTAAATTTCTCTTTGTCCCTTCCAGGATTTGGCTTACATTCTCTGTGCCTCTGGTTCAGTGCTTCTCCATGAAGGCAGTCCCACCCCAGGGACATTTTGAAATTTTATGGGAAGACTATTTTTTATTGGCATAACGGAGAGCAGGGATGCTGGAGAGCACCCCACATACAGCTGGACAACCCCATCTAGCAAAAAGGCAAGCCTGTGGGTGACTGCCCAGCCCAGACCCTGAAACCACTTGGCACATAAACAAAGAATCTGCCAGGCACAGTGTGCACGCCAGTAATCCCAGCAGCTCCAGAGGCTAAGGCAAGAGGATCGAGAGTTCAAAGCCAGCTTCAGCAACTTAGTGAATTTATGGCTGGGGATGTGGCTCAGTGCCCCTGGGTTCAATCATCCCTGGTGCCAAAATAAATTAAAAAACAAAGAATCTTTGCACTGTTTTAATGTTACTAAGTTTCACCAGACCCAGCAGGGCTCACCTATAATCCTAGTGGCTTAAGAGGCTGAGGCAGGAGGATCTCCAGTTGAGGCCATCCCCAGAAACAGACCCTGTTTCAAAGTAAAAAATAAAAAGATCTGGGGGTGTAGCTTAGTGGCAGATTGCCCATGGTTCAATTCCCAGTACCTAAAACAAACAAAACCCCCTAGTTTCCAGAAATGTAACTGTCAGAGTAACTCAAGGAAAAATGCACTCGAGCTGGGTGCGGTGATACCTGCCTGTAATCCCAGCCGCTTGGGAGGCTGAGGCAGGAGGATCACAAATGCTAAGCCAGCCTCATAAATGGCGAGGCACTAAGCAATTCAGTGAGACCCTGTCTCTAAAATACAAAATAGGGCTGGGGATGTGGCTCAGTGGCCAAGTGCCCCAGTGCCCACCCCCCCCAAATGCACTCTGTGCTGGGACCTTACCAAACACGCCCATTTGAAGACCACAGTACCACGCTCTTGCAGCGTCTGAGCGGCCACATGGCTGTTCTGCTCAGTGTGCACTGCAGCTGTCGCCCGTGAGGGGGCTCCCCTGTTGTTCTAGGGGGACATGCGTGAGCGTTGTCTACTGAAATAAAATTAGCAAATTATACATCGCTTTCCTTTTTGTTCTCTTTGTTTTCTTAGGTTATTATCTTTTATTAAACCTGTGTGTGGGAAGGTTTTATTATCTCTGCATTTCATTTTAGATAGTTACCAAAGGCGTTTATTTATTTTTAAGAGGGGAGGGTGTGGTGCCTTTGAGGTTGGTGAACACACTGGCCATCCCCTCCCCACTAACGCTGCTCTTGGTTCAATGTCCCTAAAAGAGGGTCCTCGCCAATCTCCCGTCCTCTCCCTCCTGCCCCACCTCCTCCGTCCACATGTCTTGATTTATTTCTTAACTGCACTAAACTTAATTTGGAAGCGTGGTGTTATTTATCTGTGTATCCGTTCCCTGTTGCCTCGTAACATATGACTCAATCGCCAGCTGGTTCAAGTCAAGCATTTATTGTTTCCGTTTCTGAGGGTCAGGAATTGGAGAGCAATGTGTACTGGGGGGCGGTCTGGCACAGGGTCCCCTCTGAGACGGCAGGCAGTGTGTACTCTGGGGCTGCCAGCACCTGAGGCTCCACTGGGGCCACAGGATCGACTTCAGAGAGGCTGCTCATGGCGTTGGTGGGGGGATCTTCGTCCCTCCCATGTCCACAGAGTGCATGAGTGTGATCAGATGTGGCAGGCTGGTTTTTTCATAGTGGATGATGGGGCAGAGAGAGAGGGAGGGAGGAGCGGACTGGCTATAGGAAGCAGAAGTGGGGTTTTGTGTGTGTGTGTGTGTGTGTTTACTTTATCTCCAGAGGTTCACCATGAAGACTGATCAGAAGTGCTGATTTGGCAGCTCAAATGCCATGGTAGGTTGGTGCTGGAGTCTTAGAGTTGTGAACAGTATTTTTTAAAATATTTTTTTAGTTGTAGAGGGACACACAATGTCTTTGTTTATTAATTTACTTTTTTTTTAATTTTATTTTTTTTATTGGTTGTTCACAACATTACAAAGCTCTTGACATATCATATTTCATACATTATATTAATTTACTTTTATGTGGTGCTGAGGATCGAACCAGTGCCTCACACATGCTAGGCAAGCACTCTGCCACTGAGCTCTGGCCCCAGCCCAGTAGTGAACAGTATTTTATAGAAGTTCTGCACTCTGCCCGGATGGCCACATGGTTAAGCAGTTAGTGAGCAGGTCTGGTCCCCACTCAGGAGGAGAAACATCAGGTTTTAGATGGACAGGAATGTCCCACGATGTGTTAGTCACACACCATCTTGCCTTCCCCAGGTAGAGCGGGATTCCCTGAGGGCAGAGACTGGCTGTCTTGTTCACAGCTCCATGTTCAGAACACATAGTAGGTGCCAGGTAATTACCGAGCGGTGATGGATGGAGAGGCTCCAGTGAGCTCTAGAGAATTAAACACTGAATCAGCAGGTATGGGGGGGCAACTTCTGGTCCATGGTAGGCACAACAGAGGTCCCCTCAGATGCCACAGCTCCAAGGAACCGATCACCCTTCTAGCTAAAAGGTTGAAGAGACCACGTCGGTACTCCTCTTCCTGAGTAACAGAAACTCCAATTTTCTGCTGGATACATGACAACCTGAAATAAAGACCACGTTTATCAGCCTCTCTTGGGGGGCTCTGTGGCCAGGTGACTAAGTTCTAGATGATTGGATGCAAGCTCTAGGAAGAACCTATTATCATCTCCTCTTCCTTGGTTCTACTGGCTGGATTGCAGATTAAATGGCTGGAGCTCCAGCAGCAATTTTTGCTGTAAAACTTTGCCCTCTTCTCGCTGCTCCCCGACTCTAGCATGGGCGGACTTTAGGCTGTGTGTAGATACTGACCTCTCTGGTTTTGAAGGCTGCTCCCATCTGGCCCGTGGCTGGGTCTGCCTTCCTCTGTCTTGGTCAGGCCACTCCCATTTCAACTCTCTGTCCCAGGACGGAGTGTGGTCTCCGGCTCTTCTCCTCCTTCTGCCTCTTCTGTTCCTGCTGCGTGTGCTGTGACCCTGTCTGTGGTCTGTCTACCTCTCCCTCATTCTGTTTCTGCTTTGTTCCTATTTCTTTCTCTGTGTTCTCTTTTCTTGTGTCCCTGTCCCTGTGGCCCTATGTCCCCGGTCCCTGTTCTCTGTCTCTGTTTCTCTCTCTCCCTTAGTTATGGTGACCATATGTAGAATATAAAAATACAGGATGTTGGTTAAATCCTAATTTCAGACAAGCCACCAACACATGTGTTAGTATAACTGTGTCCCATGCAGTACTGGGGACACAGTTGCACTAACAGCGTTTCGTCGTTTGCCTAAAATCCAAATATAGCTGGATGTGTCACAGCATGTATCTGGCAACCTCCTGCCCGTGCTCTGTGGGCAGCGGCTCCGCGGGGTCATGAGTCTGAACACAGTGGCTGTCATCAGAGGTGAGAGAGGAGGCCCCTGAGTCCTGCTGTTCCCAGAGCCTCCCCGACCCTGGTGCCCGCCTGTCCACTGCTACTGGGTCAGAAGTGCACGCCTCTCCTCAGTCCTCTGTCCCTGGCCGCTGACCCGAGTCTTAGGTGACGCAGTTGGCCACCAGCGGGGTCTGCTCTGACTCCTGCTTTCCCCTGGGTAATGCCTCCGTGGGGCGACCAGAGCTGGTCATCAGGGTCTGGTGGGGCTGTGGCCACCTTGCTGGCTGCCCGTCTGGTTTCTCCCGCTGCACAAGGGCCTCTTTATCCTCGGGCTGTGCTGGAGGCCTGCCCTCCTCCTGGGCCCGTCTCCGCGGTCACTCAGGTGGCCCCACCCTGGACCTCAACGTGCATTTTCCTTGGGCTCTGAAGGTGACGTTCAAGTGCAGCCCTGGCTTCCCCCTCAGCCGGGGCTGAAGCACCCCTTTCTGGGCCTCGATTCAGGAAGAGCGTCGAATGAGGACTTGTGAGGTTGTCACCAAGGGAGGATCTACCAGTCCCTCTCCGTCTGTCTGCTGTCTCTACCCGTCCGTCTCTCTCGGTGGTAATCTGCTCACCTCCAGAGGCACCGAGACGGGTTGCTGGGTTCAGTGTGAGTGGAGACATCTCCATTGGACCTGGCCCGCGTCTTTGGGCTCCGCAGGAAGAGGACCTTGAAGAAGCATGGAGTGTGGTGGGGACATGCTGGTGCCCCAGGACACATGGCAGAGGCCTGGGGATGGAGGCAGGGAGGGAAGCAGCCAGTAGCTGCACGATGGCTGGCCAGTGACCTCCCAGGGTGACCAGGGTTCCTGGCGGTGGGGAACACGGGAGCCAGGGTAGACCTGCCTCAGAGCCGCTCCAGGAGAGGGAGCCAGAGCCGGCTTCGCTCCCTGCGCTCGGGGCTGCTTGTGGGTGTTACCCCTGACTCTGTCCTCTGCCCAGGCTGACAAGCCCCAGGGCCCAACACCGCAGGTGCCCACAGGAAGTGGCCTCCTCCAGCCAGGGGGTGAGGGCCGAGGGGGTGGCTGGGCACAGGGCATCTGCTGCACATGGTTGTACCCTTCTTGCTTTTCAATATGCCAGACTCCATGCGAGGCCCTCGTAGGCGCAGACGTGCTCGGCGAGCCCAGGGAGGACAGAAGTGCCACTGTTGGCACCAGGGGACCGCTGAACCTGCAGGACAGGCGGCCATGCAGGGTCTCTGCCCAGCCCCCCAGAGGTCCTCTGGGCCCTGCCAGATGACAAGGCCCTGCCAGGCTCCTGTCCCCATTATTGCATGGGACACAGTTATACTAACACAACATGTTTGTGGCTTATCTCACTCCCCTGCTCTCGGCTGGTGCTTTCTGGAAGCACCTCTCAAATAAAGCCCTTGTGCCCAAATATTTGTCTGAGGGTGTTGTTCTTAAGGATTTCCACTGTGGCAGGATAACAGACCCCGAAGATGCCCGAGGCACATGCTTCTTCGCCCTTTCCTCCTCTCCTGGCCAGAATGTGGGGGCAATGGCTGGAACTGGGAGCAACTCTTTTAGACCATAAGGCAAAGCACTAAATGGAACCAGAGAATCAAGACTAATCAGAAAACTGAGAATGAGGCTCAGGAGAGAGGTGGCAACGAAGCATTGGAGAGACTGGATATCACAGCGAAGCACATTCTGGAAAGGCTGCGGCTGCTGTGTCGGCTGGCGCTGCATCCCTTCTCGCCTTGTCTACTTGCTGGCGGTGCCACCCTGGGTACCGCACTTGGCCATCTGAGCAGTGGGGCAGTGACAGAGCCGGCCTCATGCTCTGTTAGTGAGGACATGTGTTGATGCATATAAAGCATCTGGAATATTCCCTGCACACAGTAGGTGCTTTGTATTTCCTTCTCTCCATCACTAGATGGTTCTCGAGCCCTAAAAGTCACTGCAGTTACCAAAACACTTTATTGTCATGAAGCTCAATTTCCAGTGTGGGGAAGAGGACAAGAGATGGTGACGTGAGGGGACAGGCAGATGAGGAAGGGAACCGGAGGTTAAGGGAATCAATCTATAAAGGGGGCCCCTGTGCTGACCCCCACATCTTTCTTCTCCTAGAAGCAATTTACCTGCACCCTGCCCGGCCTCAGTGGACAGGACCTGTCACATTCCTCAGCCAACTACCTGTTCACTGCAGGGGAAATGCAGGCCCAAGTCACCCTGAAGGTCACCAGATCCTGAAACTCTGGGAGATAAGGATAGCTCCTCACATCAGAAAATCTGTAAGAATGTGTGATAAAGAATCCGGTTAGAACCAGTCAGCTGGGGCCAAGGTGACCTAGACTTGTCACGGCAATGGGGACTTGAAGTCTGATGTCACCTTGCTGTCAGTCAAAAGTCAAAAAATGGACTTGGTGGGGGTCTCTGGAAACTTCTCTGGGATCCCCAATAAAGCTGGAGTGCAGCAGAGGCAGGCTGACCCTCTCCTCTCGGAGCAGACCCCTCTCTCCCTTGAGATGCCCTCTTTCCCTTTCCCCAGCCCTTCAAGAGACCCCTACTCTGAGCACGTGTCTGGAAGCTTTGTGACTTCATTGCAGGAATCGGGGTTTGCAGGGGGGTCTTCAACTGACTCCGGTTCCTGGAGACCCCCGCTCTGTAGCAGTCACAGCCTCATTGTATCCAACTTTGGGATTTCATCAGGAATTAGTTGTGGTCATTTAAAAATATGTCTACAGATTCGTTGGTGCTTCTCCTGGGGCTGGGTGAGCTGGAGCCTGAAAAGCGTGAGGCGGAAGAGGGCTGCTGGGTGACTTCTGAGGCTGGTCTGCAGGAGCCGATTCACTCTGCCTGAGCCAGGTCCGTGGCCGGAGTCCACCATGCTGTGAGGAAGCCCAAGTCACCCACCCGGGGAGGCACACAGAGAAAGGAAGAAGCCTGCTGCCCCCAGGGCCCCAGGCCCCGCTGACTGCCACCATGCGGAAGTCCCCAGCCAGAGGGCCAGCCACAGCCTCTCTGCATTCCTGTCCCACAGAAACTAGCAGAAGAAATGATTTTTTTGTTGTTTTAAGCTCCGTAATTTTGGGGTTTGTATACAGTCAGAGAGTCCAGAACAGTCATTTAACCAAAGCGATTTGAAAACCGCAGAAGGGCTCACCGCTGGTGAGGTGCCTCTCAGAGAGCTCCTCAGAGCCCCAAGCCCTGGGGAAGCTTCCAGCATTGCCCGGTGGGGGGGCGGCCTGGACCAGGACTGCTGCCAGGGCGGGAAGAGCAGGCAGGTTGGAGACAAGTGGGGACATTTAAATGAACAGTCGGGAACAGGAGGATGCGAGGACAAGCCCGGGAGGGAGTTTAGGGTGACCCCAAGTTTCTTGCTTGGGAAACACGATGGGTGGTAGGACGGTTCCCAAGACAGGGAAAAGCTGCTCCTGGGAGAAGATGGTCCAAGAGTCCACCTGGCAATGCACACTCCTCCTGAGCAGCCAGCCCCCCACCACGGCCATCGGCCATCAAGCAGGAAGGAAGAGGGCCCCCAACCCACTTCCTTAACCCTGATGCTTTGTGTCTCGGCCACCAGAGGGCGCCAACGCCGGGCGGTTCTGTCCACTCCGGCTGCTCCTGCGTCACTCTGAGCTCCCCGAGGCCCCCACGAGGTCTGACCACTACCCCGGGCGCCAGAAAAGGGCTGCTGTTGGCTTAGTTGACCCCTCAGTGCTGACCAGAAAGTCTCCTCCCACAACTCCCCACCCGAGCCCCAGCACCCGCACTCCTGGGGATGTCCTTTATTCAGCTTGCACGGCCAGCCTTCGGTGACAAACCAGAAAAGTTCGCCTCTGATACTCGGGCACTCTGCCTTGCTCTCCTCAGTGGCCGCAGTCACCTGCGCCCCTCTCTGTTGGTCCCTCTCCTGGCGGTACTTCAGCTGCCACTGGCCCTTGCCTGTCTCCTGGGGCTGTCCCCTCCCTGCCTAGGTCTTCCTTCACGGGACTCCAGGCCCGGAGCTGGCTTCCCCAGGCCTGTGCCTGAGGCTGACTTCCAAGCTGGATCCTCCAAGGCCGAGAGTCCCAGAGCCCTAGGGCCCGGGAGCAGAAGGGACCAAGGCTCCAGGTTTCTGCGAATGTCCCATGGGGAAGAGATTATTTGGCGATAGAATCCGTCTGTTCCTAAAAGAACCAAGACTCTAGAAATCGCAGAGCCCTCTGCCCTGGTGAAGATGGTTCCCAGACTGTGGGCGCTCCACTTCCTCCCGCTCAGGGCTTTGCTACCCCCTGGTTTTCCCAGGGTCACAACGGCTCCTGTTGCTGGTCCCTCTGGCTCAACCCTTGATTGAAGCGTTTTCCTGGTTTGGGTTTGTTTTGTTGTTTGTTGTTGTTCTTTTCATAGCCTGAAGACTCCTTAGGGCAAGAACCACTTTTTATCCATCCCGAGTCCTAGAGCCAGGCCACCCACCCTCCCCAGCCTCCCCAGTACAACCAGCCACAGCGCAGCACGCACGTGCGCACACACATGCACACACATGCACACCCGCGCACACACACACGGCCTCACTCAACTGGAGGCTCACAAAAAGAGGTTGTGTTTGTTTATTTTACCAATTCATGGCACTGTGGGAGAAAACATAGCAATATAACCAAATTTTCATGAACAAGTGCTTGCTGTTTATTCTAAAAATCTCCTTTCTTGGGGAGTACAAATTTTTTGTGTTAAGTAATAGTGAAAATATTTATTTAGTGTTATTTTAGCTTAAGATCTTTACTGGGCAATGTGAAGAGTAGACCATCTTGTGTTGGTCACCTGATCATTGGTTTTTAAGAATTTTACTGGGTTCGAGAAACCCCGGAGACTGGGGGCCATCGCCTCACCACACCTAGCACAGTCCCTAAAGTAGAGCCAGAAAACACCGAGCTGCCCAGTGACACAGTTTCACTTCTAGGTACACACCCAGGAGAATTGAAAGCAAGATACAAAAACCCCATACAGGACCGTCCAGTGCAGCATCATTCACGATCACGAAACAGTGTCGATGATCCAAATGTGCATCACAGGACGAACGGACAAGTGATGATATCCCACGCAATGGCATGGTACTTGGCCTTGGAGAAGAAGGATTTAGACCTCGGACTGTCCCACAGAAGACCCTCCAGTGCAGCCTACATTCACATGGATTCCCACAGTGGGCCAACCTCCAAAAACAAGGCAGATAGTAGGTGACCGGGGCTGGGGACAGCATCTTTTTTTTTTTTAAAGAGAGAGAGAGAATTTTTTAATATTTATTTTTTAGTTTTCGGTGGACACATGTCTTTATTTTATTTGTATGTGGTGCTGAGGATCGAACCCAGCGCCCCGCGCATGCCAGGCCAATGCGCTGCCGCCTGAGCCACATCCCCACTCCCAGGGACGGGGTCTTGATGATGACCACCCACAGGTACAGGTTTGGAGATGATAAAAATGCTCTGAAACGGATTGTGGTGATCGTTGCCCCACTCTGTGACAGTCCTAGAAACCGTCGACTTACGTGTTTTCAAAGGGTGAATGACAGCGTAGGTGAATTCTATCTCAGTTAAAAAGCAAAACAGCTGGAATTGCTGCTCCGGGTTCCCAGATCAGTGACAGTCACCTTCCCTAAGAGTCTCACCACCAGGGGACTGTGCTGGGCAGCTGCCTGGGTGACAGAGGTCCCGACCACAGCTGCAGTATCTGCGAGGCACGTGGCTGGTGAGTCTCTGGGGCCATTCCGAGGCCTGCTCACAACCAGGCTGTAACTATGCACTGAGCGCCCGCCCTGCGCGAGCCGGGAGGGAGCCGCAGAAGGCTCAGCCCTGACCTGACATTGGGTTCTAACAGGATCCTTCTGGTGGTGAGTGAAGACTATGGGGACAGAGGGACTGGGAGTGAGAAGCATCCAGTGGCAGGTACTAGTGGAGGAGGTGGGGAGGGGTCGGACCCGGGAGCATTTGCTGATGGCCGGTGCTGTGCAACATGCCTGTCATCCCAGCGGCTCGGGAGGCTGAGGCGGAGGATCGTGAGTTCAGAGCCAGCCTCAGCAACTGCTAGGTAGGTGCTAAGCCACCCAGTGAGACCCTGTGTCTCTAAATAAAGTCAAAATAGGGCTGGGGAGGTGACTCAGTGTTGAGTGCCCCTGAGTTTAATCCCTGGTAATCCCCCCCAAGAAAAGGTTTACTGACGGCATGAAGAGGGTGGAGAAGGGGGGTTCCCGGAGATTCCAGGGTGGTGGCCGGTGTGAGAGGAGGCAGGAGGGTGGCACTTGCTGAGGAACAGTGTGCAGGGACACAGGGCTGGAGGGCAAAGGCGCTGTTGGACAGCCCAGTGTGGTGTTGAGGGGCAGCTGGACATCCCAGCCCGGAGTCCAGGGGAAGGCCAGCGGGGGCTGTGCAGTCCCCAGGAGTGGGTGTGGGTGGAGCCAACAAGGGGCCGGGACTGGGGACCCCTGGGTGCCTCGCGCCTGGCATCTGGGGGCAGGAGCAGGAAGGGCTGGGCAGGGAGCCGAGGCCCGGCCCAGAGGCCACCGGCAGCTCGGAGTGTCCTGGGAGTGGAGGAGGAAGGCTGTTTCAGGAGGGAGGGGGTCACCAACCCCACCTGGAGGAGAGGACACCTGTGTCCCCGCAAAGTCGCCTGTGGACACTGTCAGCAGCACGCTCATGGCTGTCAAAAAGTGGACACAACCCCAATGTCCACTCCCAGATGACTGGACGAGCAGAACGAGGACCAAGACTCTCACAGGGCGTTCTTCGGCCGTGCAGGGACAGGGCTCTGACTCTCTGTGACGTGGGGAACCTCAACGACGTCTTGCTGCGTGAAAAGGGCCACACCCCAGGTGCCACGGGCTGTCGGTTCCACCTGTGGATCATCCAGCCTTTGCACCTGTGTTGACACGGACAGCTGACTGGAGGTCACAGGGCCTGGGGGGACTGGGAGCCGCTGCCTGGCAGAGGCAGAATTTTATTGTGGGAAAATGGAAGGGCCCTGGAGGTGGGTGGTGGGGCTGATCGCTCAACCAGGTGCATGTCCTGACGTCACTCAGCTGTGCACTTGAAAGTGGCTAAAAGGCAGGTTTCGTGATATATATGATTTACCACAATTGTCCAGAAGGGAGAGAATGACCTTATCTTGCTGGCCACAGTTACTGGCTCAGAAAGGGTTGTGTGACCCAAGCTGACCCCATGCGAATCCTGCTTGGGACTTTGGCTGGAAATATTGACAGGGCTCTCTCTCTCCTGAAGTTGTTGGGCTGGTGGAGTAGAGGCCTGCAGGTGGTGGAATCATCCTTTCCCACTTCTTTGGAAGAGCCTAAGAATGAAGCTCGTGCAGAACAAGGAACACCTGGAGATATGCACATCCTGACAAAAGCACTGGAGTCCCTGGATCAAACTGTGCCTGAAGCCATCACATTTTTAGACTTAAACCAATAAATTCCTTTTTGCTGCTTTAAACATTTGGGGTTGGGTTTTCTGTCACTTGCAATGACGAGAGTCTTGGCTATTACGTCTATAAAGTGTAATATTTCTATAGTAAGGAGATATAGTCCATGTACCACCAAGAGCTCAATGTTCTGATCTCTAAGTACCTAGGCAACCAGGTGGCAGTCAAGTGTCCAATCAGAGAAGCAGCGACCCCTCCAGGCTTGCAACCCCCCAGCAGGTCTGTTCTGCCACCTGGGTTGTCAGGGCCACAGAAGCAGAAACCCGACAACTCATCAGGCCGCCTGGTGAGGAGCCTTGGCGGGAAGATGCCACCCCTGTGGGGGAGGAGCAAAGAGAGGGGTTGGTGCTACCGACTGGACAGCAGAAGCCGGCCACCTGCAGGAGCCAGCGCCTCCGCTGACCCCAGGAGGGTCTGCAGATAGGAGGGGACCTGCCCTGCGCCCCGAGGTCTGGTTCTCCTTCCCTTCCCCTTTCCCTGCTGCCTCCTGTAGTGGGACTCATCGGCCCAGTCACCAGAAACCAGGGAGGTGACCAAGTACCATCCTCCCCGGGGCCCGTGGGGGGAAAGTGAAAAAAAAACACAGACGCGGGTCTCCGCTCTGTCCTGCCGATGAGGAATCAGGGCCGGGCAGGCCAACGCTGGACTCTCAGGGGGTGACTTACCCCCAGGAGGCACTTGGCCATGCCGTCACACCAGCTGTCACCCCACGGGGAAGGGGCAGCTGCCAGCACAGTGCCCTCGGCCGACTCATCTGGCTCTAAATGTCAACAGTGACCAGTCACTTTAGGGACCTGCCCCGAACCCCAGGATCTGAAGGTCTGTCTGGGGGCCTTGCTCCCACCAAGGCCTGGTCCCCAGCAGGGGACCCGAGCACCTGGGCTGCGGCAGGGGAGCAGCTTGTCCCCGCCCCCCGTGCCTTCTTGCCCTGGCCCAGCTCAGGCACCGCTTTCACCTCCCCACGGGCTTCTGGGAAGGTCTCTTCCTAAAATTTATAGAGTTCGCTGGGCCCGTATCCCCCAGGGACCGTTCACGTTTGGAAAGCAAGGCTCAACACCCGGCAAATCCCCAGGACAGGGTGCTCACAGGCTCCTAGGAGGGTGGCCTGGGGGAACTCTGGCTGGGACCATGATGGACGTGGCAGAGGTGCCCCTGCAGACCGTGGAGCAGGGGAGCAAAAACCCCCACCCCAGCAGGTCTCTTCTGCCCCCGGGCCCAGAGGACGCTGCACTTGTCAAACCCAGAAGAGACACCTGGGGGACAGTGTCAGGGCGGCTGGTGATGGGAGATGCTGCTTCAGACCGTGTGGTGGCTGACAGCCAATTGATTTCCTCCCCTGGTATCAGCACGTGCCGCCCAGAGGGCGTCTGGGAATCCTTAGCAAAGAGAGTCAGCCCATGGGGACTTCTTCATAGTACTGCCTTTCCCTGGTGTCTGGGGTTTTTCCTGTACAAGTAGCAGCACCCTGTACACGAGCTCCATAACCTGCCTCTGACCCCCACCCAAGTGAATAGCATAGACGGACTTTTAGAACAACTCCCGGCTTGGCTCTCAGATCCCTTCTGAGGGCTGTTCCGTGTACCTCCAGCTTGGAGTCATCATGAGCAAAGTGCGCACCCTGCGCTCCTGTGCAGATTTCCCGGGGCAGACAGGGAGGGAAATTGCTCAGCCGCAGCCAACAGTGTAACATCAAACTTCAAAAGGTGTGCTTCACCCAGGTGAGGGACCTGTGGCTTGAGAGGCTGAGGCAGGAGGATTGCAAGTTAAAGGCCAGCCTCAGCAACTTAGCCCTAAGTAACTTAGTGAGACTGTATCACAAAATAAAAAATAAAAACTGGCTGGGTATGTAGCTCGTTGCTAAAGCACCCCTGGGATCAATCCCTGGTACCTTAGAATAATAGCAGGGGTTCTTCACGTATTTGGAGCACTAGTCTTTTGTTTATCTAATCACTTAGTCTTCAATGTGCTTTCTGGGTTCTCCTTGTCCAGGGGATATGAGTTTAGAAAGCTGTTTTGGGGGGACACAGCACTCCACCCCTGAGCCTCATCTCCAGATCTACTTGAAAGACTCCTTTTTAAAATATATATATATTAGTTGTTGATGAACCCTTATTTATTTCTTTATTTTTATGTGGTGCTGATGACTGAATCCGGTGCCCTACATGAGCGAGGCAAGCGCTCACCACTGAGCCCCAGCCCCATCCCTTTGTAAGACTCTTGACAATTCCTGGCGCACAGCATTGGACAGACAGGGGCCATGACAGCAGGTACTGAGTGCTCTCTGTGCAAACCAGGGCTAGGGCCAGGGTGAGGCCAGCCAGGCAAAATTCAAGTTCACCAGAAACCTCCACGGTACAACCTTTATACCACAGTAGCTGTAAGGATCAGAATTAATGCAAAAAAATCTATGATGAATAAAATACCAACTCTGTGGGGTTCTGGGAATGGAGCCCAGGGGGACGCTACCAAAGAACTATGTCTCCAGCCCTTCTTGGTTTTTATTCTGAGACAGGTCTCTCTATGTTGCTGAGGCTGGCCTCAAACCCGCAATGCTCCTGCCTCAGCCTCCTGAACCGTGCCTGGCCCAACATTTTGAGTGGACTTTAAAGTGCCTTCCGTGTTGACTCGCCTGATTCTCACCAGAACTCCAAGCTGGGAGCCCTGAGACAGATACTAACTGGTCCAGGATCAGGCAGCTGCTCCGTCCCAGAGCAGGGGTCTGAGCCAGGTCAGCTACCTGCAGAGTCTACGCTGTTTGCCAGGTGACTGTGGGAAAGCCACCTGCCCTCCCTGGCCTCAGCTGTCTCCGTGCCACTCCCTGCCGTTCCTCAAGGCCTGCGACACCCACCTGCCTCACGTGC